TTTTTGCTCTATTCACTTTAGTTGTTGGCTTAGACTCTATTAGAATCACTTCTAATTGCCATATTAGATAAAGTATTGCATGTAAAAAAGTTGTCATTTTTCTAATCAAAATCGGTGGAGAGAATTTTTAGTCTAGACCATAGATCACTCGGAATTACATTGCATATTTTCTAATCACCCATAAATATTAAATACATTAGACTTTACTTCTGTATGATGTCACAACATTTCCGAATAGAAAAATTTGAGTCACGAATGAAAGTTTTTTTTTATTCTTTAGTTTCATCATTTTCAAGCACTTCTCCAATTGTTAGAGGTTTATTATCATCAAATTATCTTCCAATTCTTTTCCTGAAAATTATCGTTGCTATTGCTCTAATTTTTGTATTAATATTATTCATTTATTGTTGTTACCGTCATCGAAAGAATAAGAATCATTTATCCTCAAGTTCAATAGCATTATCACCAAGAATAAAAACTTGTCTTGTAAATCCAACTCAATCATCACCATATCATTCACCAATCATTATTAAACGAAGTCATCATCAAGTTAGATCATTATCATCATCACCAATAACAAATACAAAATTAACTAATTTACATTATCGTCAAACATCACTTCAACCAGAATCTAATTACCAACAAACTTACCTTCCTTTCGGCGGTAATGTACTGTATGAAGTCCCGTTTACCAATGTCCGTTTTTTACAAGAAATCGGTCAAGGTAAAAATAATATTTATTTATAAAAAAGTTTATTCATTTGAACTTATCTTTCAGGAGAATTCGGACAAATATATATCGGTGAATTGATTGATAGTAAAAGTCAATGTATTGTTAAAACATTAGAGAATGAACATGCTAAACAGGAATATCTACGAGAAATTGAAAGTACGAAAAAAAAAAAATCTAATTTTTATTATTATTCACACAATATATTTTTGTTTTCGTAAATAGTTTTTCGTCATATTCATCATATAAATATATCTTGTCTTATTGGTATTTGTATTCCAACACAATATACATATTCATTAATGATTTATGAGTATTTAAATCATGGAAATTTACATGATTATTTAACTGAACAACATTCAGAAACAATTAATTTAACCGATTTTCTCTTTATATCAATACAAATTGTATCTGGAATGATATATTTATCTGAAAAGAAATTTCTTCATAATGATTTATCAGCAAAAAATATTTTTCTATGTGAACATTTGAACATTAAAATAACTAATATAGGACGTTATCAACAAAAATATCATTTAGATTATTATAATATAGCAAATCATTTATTACCTGTAAGATGGATGTCAATTGAATCTCTATTATCAGGTATTTATTCTGAAAAGTCTGATGTTTGGTCATTTGGTGTATTATTATGGGAAATGTTTTCATATGGTACTCAACCGTATTATGGATATACAAATCCTGAAGTTATTGAAATGATACGTGATAGAATATTATTAGCATGTCCATTAAATTGTTCGAAGAAAATTTATGCATTAATGTGTTCATGTTGGGAAGACAATAGTGAACAACGACCAACATTTATTGAACTTATGCAAAGATTAACACAATTGCAAGATAAAACAACATTGTTGCCTATTGATGATGAATTAATACCACTAAAACGATTGGAATCATTTAGAGAAAAATATAGAACATCAATATTGTCTACTAATGAATGAATGAGTATATTAAATGATATTTTATTAAATAGAAATAGTATTTGTTTTGAATTTGAAATTTTTTTATGTTTATTTGTTATATAAAGTTATTCTTATGTATTTGTTTTCATATTAAAACAAATAATTTGAATGTGTCAAATCTTTTTATATTTGACTATTTTTTAAAATCAATGGATCATATTTACTTCAAATGGATTGATCTGATTGTGCTCTGAATGGAAGGGATTAACAAACATTTTTGGCGGATAATTTTTTCATATCATTTCTAGATCTGGAAATTGTAGCCATTTCTTAATCGGTGAAATAAAATAAAAAAAGTGTGTTTTATGAGTTGTTTTTTTTTTTTAATTTTTATTCTCTTTTATGTATAATATGAACTCATTGATATTTAAATAAATATCTTGATAAAATTTAATAATATAGTATTTTTGATTTGATTAATTTACAAATATTTCTGTACTACGTAATGAGTCTTAATCTTTTTCATTAGTTCTTTTTCGTTTATTTGATCTATCGAAATAAAATGACTGATTGATTATTAACAAGTGAAATTCTAATATATATATACAGAGTGTTTCGAAAGTCCATTGAAAAAAAAAACTGTTTACATGTTTCTTTCATCATCTGATTCCATATGAGCATCCAAATTATAAATAAAATGCTTATACATATGAGATTTTAGAATACAAATCGTCTCTATTCGTGGTCAAAGGTTGAATCAACTATGATTGTGACAAGAGGGTAGAGACCTGTATTGCTGTCAGTTTTAGAAGCAGTCGGAGCTCTCTAAATTGCTCGCTAGTAAATTTTGCTTTTAGTACTACAGGCTGTTTTTTTGAATGGTGAGTTTTATTCTTTGATATTCATTGTACAAAATAATGCGTTTTGGAAGCTTGATTCACGTCTTCTTAGAGCTTTGCAAAAGGTGGGAGAAAATCAAAGTCAAAGTTGACTCCAACATCTCCTCATAGGCGAAGATCTTTAACAGACATCAATCGAATTCTGAAAACATATCAGTTCTTATAGTGAATATCAACGAATAAAACTTACAATACAAAAAGCCTCTTGTGTTAAATCTGATTTATTAATGAGATTTTTATTTGACTTCAACGCAGATCTCTTATCAAACTGATATTGTAGTAGACTAGGGACATGTTCAACGTCTTATAGAAACGATACAAGAAAAATTTGCTGGAGTTCATCATACTAGTGAAAGAGTATTGATATCAAGTGTTCTGACTGTTTGCAAAGTTACTTCAATAGTATATTGAATAATGATAAAGCTCAGTGAACGAGAGCTATGTTTAGATTTCCGAAGAAGAAAATTTTCAAAATGAAAGCCATCTGTAGAAAACTTCTATAATTACAGATTTATAGAAAAGAAACTCTAATGAAATTTCGAAGATAAGTGTACCATCGATATAGATAAATGGAATTTTAAGTCTATAGAAATATAGAAGATGTCCACACTCAAAACTAAAAATTTTCGGTAGTCTTCGTAATTATCAACATTTTCTAGTAATAGCCACAATTTTTCAGTAATCTCTGAACGTCCACACGACTTTGGCATAGAAATCTCCAATGTTTTCAATAAAATAGTACGATATATTTATCTTCAGTATTTAGAAATCTCAATAATATTCAAACATAACAAGTAAATATCGAAATTTCTTGTTAAGTTCTCAACCTTAGTAATAAATTCAATATTCCTTCAAGTTTTTTTAGCGTTGAGCAACATGTTTATATCGTTAATACA